ATAAATTCTCATGAATTAAAGCGATAGAACAGAGTTAGAGGGGAATTGATGGCATATCCTCTGATGTTCTCAACTTTTTGCCATTCCTTTGGGTAAAACCCTTATAACCCTTTAAAACAATTATTCCCCTTATAATCCCTCAATGGTATGGTTCCACAATGCCTTCAGAATAAAATCTAAAATCCTTTCATTATCCAGCCAAACTAATTCTCCATCCACACCTCTAGCTCTTATCCCTCACTCACTCTCTGTTCAAAACACATTTAATCCGCCTTGTTCTTTCTTGCCCCTCTGCCTTCTCAACAGGTATCCAAGGCTTTATAGCCAATGCCCCTCTTTATTCAGAGAGCAGATTTCTTCACCGTTCACCTTTGCTCAAATATCCGCTGCTCTAGAGTCTCATCTGAACCACTTAGGTGGTTTGAGTTTCCTGTTTCTATCATAGTGCTTATTTCCTTGTATTGAAATTGTTTGTTTACTTTTCTATCTTCTTCATTAGACAGTAGATTCCTTGAAAGGTGTGTATTTTATTCATTTTTGAATAATTAATAACTAGGACAGCACCCTGCATAGACTTGGTGCTCAATATATGATGACTGAATAAATTAATTAATAGGCAGTACAGAGAACAAAGGCATACAGAAATGACCATTCAATAAACTCAGAAAAAGGCACCAGTATTCCCTGGCCTATATAAGAATTCAGAACTAATTCAGAATCAATAAAGCCCATTTTCAATAGTCAAATGAGTAATCTACATGTTCTCTATTTTCCTACCCATTCCTTATTTCTAGAACCTCTCATCATTTGCAAAGCACTTTCTGATTCTTCACATATATTATACCATTTAATCATTAATGCCACTACAAGATCATGTTACTCAGCTGGGATTTAATATAACCACCTCAGTATGTCCAAATGGTATAGTAAGAGCCCTGGATTTAGAGTTGGGCAATCCAAGCTCAGGTCCCTGTTCTGCCATTTAACTACTGGTGTGTTATCGAAACATCTAACTTGTCCAAACTTCAGCTCCCTTTCCTACTTTGCCATCTTTAGAGAAGGTAAATTGTCATTTTTATACATTATTGTCCTGATTATCCAAGCTGGCATTTATAGGTAGCTAATGGAGCCAAAAAGAACGTACACTTTAGGGTAAGACAGGCTAGCTACATTGCAAAATAGTTGAGTGATCTTGAGTCAATTGCTTAATCTCTCTAAACCAGTTTCTCATATAGAGAGATACAAATGATTTCCTCTTCAGTTTTTCTAAAAAAATATAAAAACATTTGTATATTTGTTAAGTGCCATATAAAATTTTTATTATAATTCTTTTTGGCTAGGTTTAGGTATGGCATAAAGCAATGCTTTTCAAAGCGCTTTGTATACTTTGTGTCCCACATCAAGTTACTGACAAACTGCACATTAGCTTATTAAAGGCTCTAAGAAATCCTGCTGTAGAGAGATCTGTATAACCTGTCTTTTTCCCAATATATTTGAACATGGAGCACATGCTAATACCTTGTGAAATACCAAGCATAAGAAGAACAGAAAAACCAGTTTTTCACCCCTATGACTCTCATGATAGACATTCAGAAACAAAAAACAAACTAGTAAAAATAGTAAATACTCACCCACTTTACCACTCATTAATTCATTATTTGCAATGCCATTTGCTTTTAAAAAAACAACTAAATATGTGTATACACACACAGGAGAATTTCAGGTAGAATTTTAAGAGTCAGTTGTAAAATCTGAAGGAAGAAGACATCTAGATATAACTGATCATGGGTATGAAGACTAAAGACTATTCTGGTCAAGCATTTGTGATTCCCACTGGCTGAACTTCACTCAGTAACTTCTGGAATTACGTGAGATGAACAAAACAGAAAAATACTTTCTCATTCATTCACAGGTATAGTTCATTTAAAGGCATAATTGCTCTTTTCACATGGTAGCAAAAGTTCACTTCATTATTCCAAATGGCTCTTTCCTAGCATCAACTCCTGTCACTTTAAAAGCCGCTGTTAATTCCCCATCAGTAAATGTCAATTAAAATGAATATGTATCATTGCTTTCAGCAGTTGCATTTGTAATAAATATATAAATACATGCAAATCTGTGCAAAATGTTTAAAATATATATTTCTGAACAATCAAACACTTTAATGTTATTTCAAAGGATTTTATCTACAGAAAGCATTTAGGATCTGGCCCTTACCTAAAATAACTAGAATTTCATGGATATACAATGAACAGTTACCAACTTTACTAAAATCTATTCTATTGACCTTAGGAAAAAGCATGTTAAAACATGATAATGACCTCTGAGCTTTGAACCATTCAGTACCCTTGTACTTCTGCAACATCATGTACAATTGAAAAGAAAAGTTCGAAGAGGGAGAGGATGCTCCTAATTTAAGGAATCATAGTGATCTACTGCAATAATCTGAAATGCAATTGCATTTTACCAGTTTACTATCAAACATGCATCTACTCCCCAAATTTCCATTAAAATATTCTATATTTAAGAGAAGTTGAAACATTTAGGATGCATCTGAGTGTTAAATTCTATGAAGTTTCTAATCCCATTTCAATTTCCTACATGAGGCTAAAGTTTTGTTGTCATTGTTGTTTTTAAGACAGTGAGGCTGAGTCTTGGATCATACTTCCACCATGTTACCCCACCATCCCCCAAATATTTCAACCAGGATCCAAGAACAGTTAGATAATTCAGATTTACATATTAAACACATTGTTGTGAAATGTAGACAAATATCTAAAAATATTTCCAACAATACTTTCTGCCAGGTGATCATGCATTAGCAGAAGGAACTTTAAAGCCTCAAAGGAAAATATTGTAGAAATGCTTAGCAAAAAGGAGTCATGTGTGACCATATTTCTCCAAGGGCTGGGTCAGTTTATACATTTGTCTGTTCCTGACTGCCTGTGGTTTTCCTTCTGCCTTCGACCTTAAGCCTTCCATTCCTCATCCCCCTTGAGAGCTTTTCTGTCTGGCCAGATGACCCAATGTCTGTGGTCTCATTGAGACATATTTAGGCCCTTTTCTTACTTATTTTCCACTTTCCATATTTTATGACTTGTGACAATAAACATCACTTTTAATTAGAAAATCTTTGATTTAGAAGGCCTAGATAATATAACTATAATTAAAGCAACTTCCTCAGTTCACAGAATTTGATAGCAGATTTCTTATAAAGTGTCAATCTGTAGGAAATGGATAGTTCTTCAGTTAATAGAACTGTGAAGGGTTTGCATTATATACATAAATCTAGAATGTTAGAAGTGACTGAAAGTGATTTCTGAAACCTGCACAAAGTTTGCAAAAGTTACCAAATGCAACGTTAAGTTTCATTTACTATATTATCAGATTAAAACTGCTAATCATACGCATCCTAGCCACTAAACAATTTCAGTAATTAAATCAAGCATTTTAGTTTTTCATTAGACTTGAAGAGCACTAAGCTGTAAGTCTTCACAACAGTCAATCATGAGAAATACTGCTATCACATTTAACTGACATTTTATTACAGTACTTTGAGTCCAAGATATGGAGATTTCCAACATCAATATGCTTGACTGCATATTGTATACCACTTTTCCAGACAGTATCTGCTTAAAAATGAAAGTTTGATGGTCTGAAAGATCAGTGTGTATGGAAATGCTCACCCCACTTTACAAAGCAATGGTCCCAGGAAAGGTTGCAAAATAATTGCTGAACTTGCTCTTTTCAATGAAAACACTATTGTTCACCACAAACAAAAGGAAGTTTTTAGTTCTGTTCTACAAATTCTCTGAGTTGTTTCTACCTCAGCATAATTAACATTAACTTATCACAAAATTATCACTTATCACAAAAATAACTACAAGTGAAATTTAAAAGGACACTGGCATACAGTGCACTTGCTAGGAAGTTTCCTCATTTTACTTATCCTATATACCTAAGTCATTTTAAACCAAAAACCTCTGGGACGTTAGCATCTAAATCCTTTAACACAAATAATTTTTGTAGATGTAAAATACTGCTTCAAAAGCTTTTAAAGAGATGAAAGTTTTAGGAACACATTCTTCAGCTTACTGTTTCATTATATTCCTAAATCTAGGCAGTGACTGCTCAAATGATGGTTCCCGCTGCCCAAGAAGTTTATCTTTGTATTCCAGTTTAAAGTGGAAGTAATAGCTGTGTAAAGAGACTTGGCAGATAAGATGACAAATAGTAAAGCAGTCATTGAAGATGCCAAGTATGGTTAAAGTTTACAAGATGTACCACCATTTTTCCAAGGTTCTTAGTTATATGAGAAATCAGATGTGGGGAACATTCCAAGATTATCAGAAAGTACATCATAAAAATAAGTCTGGGTCCCCTAAAATGTACTTACTCCTTTTTAAAGATACAAACAGAGATATATATATAGATATTCAAAAAAAAAAAAAAAAAAGACAAGCCATGGCCCGACTAAGCTCTTTACCTGGAGCACAGTACTTCTCTAGCAGTCATATTAAAATGTGGGAACTTTTCAGCAGCAACAACTCAGACCTAACCAAAATTAACAATTTTTCTCAGGGAAAAAAGGAAGCCACCCAAATTGCAACATACACTTCAGATTCAACATAACAAAAAAAAAAAATAAAGGATTTTTAGAAGATGTGACAGGAATCCCCTCCTACTCACTGAAGCAATATCACTAAGAATGGGAGGGGGAAGTGTTGTAGCATATAGAGATGCTAGTAAAGCAGAGTGAGATGACAGAGGGATGAGGTGATCATAACCACTTTGATGCCTTTCACTTGTTTCTCACTTCCCTCCCATCCTAGATTGTGATCACAAATTTTAAACATGCAAAACCCAGTTTAAAAAAAAAAAAAGACTGTGACTAGGGTTACTACCACAGAAACCCTAAACGATTTTCGTGCAAAAGCAAAGCAGTGGGGATGTAGTAGCAGTAGCAAATCTCCCACTTCCCCCACCCCTTGATACGGTACCTCCAGATTTGCCCGAGCTGCAAGATGTGGATGAGTGACTGCAGGAGCCAGATGCAGAAGGAGCAGGAGGCAGACCTGTGTTTGCTGCTGGCCCCGCTGCTATTGCTGCCACTGTTGGGAGCGGTGATGTTGCTCTTGCTGGCGTTGGATGCTTGCCTCTGCGGCGTGGAAGGACGAACCTCACCTTCTGCGGCTGCAGACCCACTACTAACCGTGGTCTTGCAATCGGTTCCTGTCTGCTGGCAGCTGGAGGCAGCCGCGGCTGTGGCGCTGTCCTCGGTGCTGAAATCGTGCACAAACCAGCGGAAGCTGAACACTTGCACAGAGAGCGAGCCGAGCACCACGAAGAAGAGCGTGAGTCCGAACCACCAGCGCTGGCCGCGCAAGTAGTAGTCCACGGCGAGCCAAATGTCCGTGCCCACGTCCGCGAAGTACACGGCCACGGCGGCCAGGATCCAGAGGCAGTCCCACAGCGAGTAGCGCCGTTGCTCCCTACCTAGGCGCAGGCACAGCGCTGCCGAGCCCGCCCCGCCGCCGCCGGGGCCACCAACGCCGCTGGAGACCCCCGAGCCGCCGCCCGAGCCACCGCTCCCCGCGCAGCAGCAACAGCAGCGCGAACAACCGCTGCCGTCCGGGCAGCACCCGCCCCCAGCTGCCTCCTCGTCCTCGGCTCCCGACCCCGACGGCAAGCCCGGAGCCAATCCCTGCACCGAGCCCGAGTGGTCCGAGTTCTGCAGCGGGGTGAACGCCACGTCGCTGCTCTTCTTCATTTTCAGCCTCCCGTCTGACTTAGCGGCCATGATGCCTCCAAACCCGAGGAGAGCCCTCCTTTATCTGACACCTTTTCCCGCTGTCTCCTCCTCCCGCCACCTCCTCGTTTCGCCTCGGCTTCCCTCCCTGGCGGCGCGGCTCCCCCACCTCCTGCTCCTGCGCTGGCTTGCCCGCCGCCCGCCGCCGCCCGCCGGGCTGAGCGCTGGGCCGGGCTAGTGGCGCGCCTGGGGCCGGCAGGAGCGCCGCCTGGCTGCCTGCGCGGAGCCAAGCTTCTCGCAGCGCCCCGCGCGCGCCCCTGCCCGCCGCCCGCGCTCCTCGCCGTTTCGGCCCCGCGGCTGCCGCCCGAGTCGCCGGCGCCGCCAGCAGCAGGAGCAGCAGCGGCCGCCCCGGCGCTCCTCGGACCTGCACATTCCTCTCCTCCCCTTGCGCGCGCTCCCTCCTCCCGCTTCCTCTCCGCCACCAGCTGACTCCGAGGGAGAGGATGACCTCATCCCTTCTCTTCCAGCTGCCGCCGCTCCCACCCCGGCTCGGGAGGGGCGAGGGAAGAGGAGGGCCCCGAAGGAGGGGCTGGGACCGAGATGCGCGGCTGGGTGAGGGTGGGGTGTTTCGCGGTCTCGGGGGCCGGGAGGAGCGGCCGAGGGGTGGCAGGGGAAACAGACGGTCGAGCGCCCCAGCTCGCGGGATTTCGGAGAACACGGGGTGAATTTGACCGACCCCGCGGGGAGGGGCAGGAGGGCGCGGAGAGGAGGGGTCCCGGCGTCCGGCCCTCGCAAAGGTCGAGGGAGAGTGGGCACCCGAGGGTGTGGCGGCGGCGTGGGCTGGGAAGGCGCAGGCCTCTTTGTATTCCGTTTTATTCTGCGGGTACCTGAGAAGGGCTGGGTGTGCAGCTCGGGCTGGCAAGGTTTGGGAGACTGGATTTCACTCACAAGCCAAGGCCGGGACGGCTGGCAGAGGGAGTGGGTGTGTCCAGCCGTGGGGAGCTGGGGAGGGGAACGCGTGCGCGGCCCGCGAAGGTGCAGAGCGGAGCGCGTAGGCTCGGCCCGCGCTGGCTGCGGGAGGCGGGAGGTTCAGCCGGGAGCCTCGAGCTCCGAGCCCGCACTTCGGGGTAGGAGCGCACAGCCAGAATGCCCCTGGCTTCTTGGGGAAGGCCAAGCGCCCTGGCCCTGGGAGGTCGGGAGGAGGCGAGGAGGCAGCTCGGGCGCCCTCCGAGGCCCAGCCCCACGTCACCTGGCCAGTACTTTTCGGGCGCTCTTCGCGGCCCGGGAGCAGCCAAGCCTGGAGTAGCGGTGGAGCAAGCGGGCCGGGAGGCGGCCCTTGCCCCACCTCCCGCACGTGGCAAGCAGCGCCGCACACCGAAGAGCGGCTCTGAGCCCGCAGCTGGGCGGCGGGGCGGGACCCGCAGCCGTGGGAAAGTACCTGCCTGCCGGCCGAGAGAGTGGCAGAGCCGGGAAGCTGCTGCCACCTCCCTACTCCAAAGCAAGAATTACCTTCTCTTAAAGCTACAGGAGTTGCAGACTTGATGTGTGGTCCCACAACCCCTGAAATGACTCGCATAAATTAAGTCTGTGATCACAATGGTTCATCAAATTAGGTATAAAGAGAAAATATTTTGCTGCTTGAAAAGATTCTTAAACACCCAATACGTATACGAGCCTTATCTCTTTTTTCTTTAATAAGAAAAGTTAGGTTTTCATTTGTCTCACTCAACTGTTGCAATGTGAGAGTAGGGAGTGTAATTCTTAAATTATACTGTGACTCACATAATTTGAGACCAGAGGGAAGTGAGGCAACACGCGTTACACTGCCACTAAGAGCACCAGTTGTGGTCTTCTAAATATGGAGGAAAAACATAACACCCTCCCCCTTCCTCGATGCAGACGCCAGGCTCAGTTCTAACTAGTGTATGTGCCATTCTTAATTAGTAGAATTCTGAAGTAGAAGTGCATAAATTTCTCTGCATGTAGAAATAGTCACCCCAGACATTTTGTGCTGCAGCAAATACATTGCTTTAGAATCGACCTGGACAAAGTGCGATTTGCCCCACCCCTGGATGCATCATTCTTTATTCTTAGACTGGTGTTCTGAGGACTGCCTTACTTAGCCTTTGCCTGGCAGTCTGGCAGAAGGGTCTTGGGGCCCAGAGCTTACGAATATTTCATGGCATGTACAAATCCAGTATTTCTAGAAAAAGCCATGACCAAGTGGTGAATGAGAGTCAATGCAGTATCACTCAGCCAGGCGAAAAGTCTATTTTTAAATCTAGCTTTTAAAATTAGACCCTTTTGAATAGGAAAATCCTTTTGGGGAAAACTCTCTGATTCTGTTTCCCCAAGGTCAAATCTAAGATTCCATCTCCAAAACACTACAGCCGATCTTATTTTGTGCCAAGCCAATGGGGAGAGAAATGATCTCTTAGGCAACTGGGTCCTAAGGGATAGAGTATATTATAGGTCAGATGCATTGCCTTAAATTGCAACCAGGTGTGAAAAGGACCTGCAGAGTATCTGAGGTTCTGAAGGTGTGAGCTGACTGAAGTTTCCTTCAGAGGAGGGATGTTTCTTATTCAATCATATTTTCTGCTCCTGGCACAGTGCCCACACAGACTATTTGCTCAATAAATTGTAGTTGAATGAACACATGAATTTCTAGAAAGAACATTCCACAAGAGTAAAAATGCTATATTCTGTACTAACCTTCCTATGGAAGCATAGGAATTATGAAACTCTAACAAAGAAATAACTTACAAACATTTACTCAAAACACACTGGACTCTAAAGTATTTGTCTGAACCATCCCTGGAAGTTAGTGGAAGGAACAGACAAGCAGGAGGTTAGAGGAGCATTCACACCCAGACTCTTCTTCTTACCGACCTCACCAAGATCTGGGCAAATTGCCTGATACACAGGAATAATATGAGGATTAAATAATATAATGGGTATTATTGGGCTTTGTATACAATATTCTTCTCAAGATTCTCTAATCCCACAAGTCTATTATTCAAATTTCAGGATGCAAATTTTAATATCACCTGTTCTATCACAATCACTGCACCTGCCATAATGGTTAAGGGCTCGGAGTTCAGACTTAGCCAGAGCTATCGTTGTACATGTTATTTAACCTTCCTTGCCCTCGGCTTTATCATTTGTAAAATAGGAATAAAAGCAATCTCTAGCACCTAATGTTGTTGCCAAGAATAAATAAAATGAGGCATGTATTGTCTGACATCGTGTCCAGCACATTTAAACATTCAGTAAACATTGTTTGTTAGTATTCTTCATCTTTCTTCCACCATCCATGTTTTCTGGCTTAATTCTAAAACTTTATGTTTAGCTAGTCCACTCTGCCTAAAGTGAGAGTGCCTCAAAACACAATCCTTGGACTCCCCTGCAGCAGAATCAGTTGGTTTTTTTATTACAGATTCCTCACCTATCAGTACTATATTCTCTCCTTCAATGATCTTATCTTTCATTTTATATCAGAGGTTCATTCCCATTGTCATAACCTAAATCATATTATTACTCAATGGCTTCATAATCTCAGCTTCAAGCATCCCACTCTCCAATTAATCCCTTCTAAATGATTAGCTCACTTCCTCAAGTACCCTTAGATTCAATCCACCTCATCTTCATGTCCCTTAACCCCTCCTTGCCCTCACCTTTCGTTTTTTTTTTAAAGTTTTGAATCATGTTTATTCTACTACAGTTGTCTCAATTTTTCCCCCTTTGCCCTCCTCCACCCATCCCGCCCCACCCCCCGCTCCCACAGTCAATTCCCACTCTGTTGTCCATGTCTATGGGTCATTCATACATGTTCTTTGACTAGTCCCTTCCCCTTTCCACCATTGTCCTCCTTCCCCATCCCCTCTGGTCACATTCAGTCTGCCCCATGTTTCTATGCCTGTGGTCTATTTTGTTCATTAGTTTATTTTGTAATTATAAATTCCACATATAGGTGAGATCATATGGTATTTGTCATTCACCGACTGGCTTATTTCACTTAGCATAGTATTTTCCAGTTCCATCCATGTTGTCGCAAAAAGTAGGAGTTTCTTTCTTTCTTTCTTTCTTTCTTTCTTCCTTTCTTTCTTCCTTTCTTTCTTAGTGCAGATTGATTTTATTTATTTTTTAAATGTGAAAATCCATTATAAAATATTTAAAAATTTAAATTCATTATAAAGTCTCAGCAATTAACATGACACCAGCACAGGAATAATCAAGTGGACCAATGAAATATAATAAGCATTCTAGAAACAAATGCATATATCTAAAAATGTAATATATGATTAAATTGATATTTCATATCAATGACCTCACCTTTCTCCTTACACAGTTTAAATTCCGTGGTCAGCCACTGTTAGCACTCCCTCAAACACATCTTCATTTCTGTCCCCCTTCTTACTTGACAGAACACCAGTCATGCATAATCTTCACTTTTCACCAACTTTGGGGGTGTGGCTGGGGAAAGGCCAGGGATGCTGACTCTGCTCCTTTTAGGTCTATAACCACAAACCTGAAAGGGAGCATAGGGCTGCTCAGCAGTCACTCCATTTCTTTCTAGTCCATTATTTTTTCTTTTCATATTTTCTTTCTCCAACTTTAAACACTTTCTCCCCCATCCTTATTCTCAGCTAATGACTCTGCTTCCCATTTCTTTGAGAAAAATGAAGCTCTCAGCACCTCCCCTACCCACCAGCATTTGTACCCACGCACTCAGCCTCCTGCCTTAAGGGGACTCTGCTTGTCCACCAGTTCTCATTCCTTCTTATTGCTGAAGAGCACAACTCAGCACTAATTTCCACAATCACAATCATCAGTTTTCCCTCTTTGCTGATTATCCCAATCAGCATACAAATATGCACCTATTTATCCACTAGTTAAAAAAACATAGCAAAACAAAACAAAACTTGTCTCATTTCAATTCCCTTTCTAGCCACCACTGCGTTCCTCTGAAACTTTTTACAACAAATTTTCTCTAGAGTTGCCTACTCTGGGTTTCTTCAATTTCTCTTGAATGAACTCAGATGAACCTA